TGAGTTGGTATGGTGCCATTTTTGGCGTCCCAACCAACGAGCCATCCTCGCCTCGGCGAGGAAGGTAAGCACCTTGCTACCTTGCAACAACACCAACTCCTCTCACTCAAATGATCACACACACACACACACATGCACATGCACATGCACATGCTTGCACCCACACTTACTCACAGACACACCACGCATGCACATTGGTTCCTCGTTTCTTCGTTTCTACTTGGACTCTGGATTTGCCGACTGTCACCCTCGCCGACTGCACCTGATCGTGCCCTTCACGCTGCCTCTTGTCTCTTCCCCTGTCGTCTCTGTCTGCTTGTCTCTCTTTCTCTTATGCTGCTGCTGCTGCTGCTGCTGCTGCTGCTGCTCTCGTGCTTGTCTGTCCCTTTTCTCTTCTTTTGGCGGCTGTTCGTGGGCCAACAAAAATTTGATTCGATGCACAAAGGAGTGCCCGTCTTGTTGTTGTTGTGGTGTGCTTGCTTCTTGTGTGTTTTTTTTTGTGTGTCGTGCACTCTGACTGTATTGACACAGCCGACGATATTAAAACTACATGGAATCATACGAAAAATTATTCCTGGTGAGTATACTTTGTGAATGATTTTGTATAATTTTCTGCGTCGTCAGCAAGTCACGCAACGAGGGCGCGAATGGGTGCGTTGATGATCAGGCGAATGATTGAAGCAGTGGGTTGGCGACTTTTGAGAAGCGTGGTGCGGGTTGTGGTTGTGGGTTGGAGAAGGTGCATGCATGTGGGTTGGATGGAAGGATGGATACCGCGTGGATGGCAGAAGGTGCCCAACCAGCCATCCAACCACCACCTCCACCACCACACGTGCCACCACATCATTCATCGCATCAACCATGATGCCACGAGTTTTGGTTCGCGCACTTGACTGACTGACTGACTCACCTTCGTCTTGCTTTGCTTGCTGCTCCCCTTGCACTTGCTCGCTTAACAACATGTACGCTTGGGTTTGACCGGACAAATGATGACACTGCCGTATGCCAATGACACCATCACCACCATCAACCCCATCAACGCCATCAACCCCATCAACGCCATCAACGCCATCAACGAACATTCCTCTCTCGCGCGTCTCTCGCGTCTCTCGCGTCTCTCACGTCTCAACGGCCAGCACACCATCGGTGAGTGTGCTTGTTGCACCTGGCTTGTGGTGGCTGTCACGGGTGTCGTCGATGCCAACATCATTTCATTTTCTTGTTTTTCTTTTTGCCGTTGTGCGCTGTTCATGAGCGCACACACGTAAGGGCAAAGAAAACACCAAGAAACGTGTGCTTTCAAACTCACTCACAAGCACACGACACAGCACGACACACACGTGTACATCCACACACAACACAACACACAACACAACACACACTTACACTTGCGCCGACACACACACACACACATAACACAACACACACCCACACACAACACAACACACACTTTCATTACGCCGGCACTCGCACGCTCCCACGCTCACATAACATAACACTCACTCACGCTACATACTCGCAACACAACACACGGCAGGCAGGAAGTGATGGAGGACGAAGGGCCGGTGACTCTGTCGAGGGAGCCAGAGGCGAGATACATCAGCAGGAACCCGCCGATCCCCGAACACCGTCCACTGCAACAGCCACACCAGCTACCACCACAGCAGCAGCTGCAACTGCACCATCATCATGATGCAGACAGAAACCTGCAGCCGCCAAAGCCGTTGGGGCGACAGCTGGCCATCAACCGTGCACGCGCCACCTCCGTGGCCAAGACCATCTCCACAGCCAAGCTCGTGCGCAAGCGGGGCGCGTCCACGTCCACAAACGACCATCAGGTCGACATTGACCAGCAGCACAACGCACAGAACAAAGGCACGCCCGCACCTGACGCCCCACCTGCAGGCACGCACTACGGCTACCGTGACATCCGCGCCTTCAACGAAGAGATGCTGTCCAACTGCGTGAGCTTCGACTACGACCTGGCGACGGCACCAGGCACCACCACCTTCGACCGCACGCCAGACGGGTACATCATCTACGTCATCAACAACGGGCCCGCGGGCATGCCCCAGTTTCTGCGCAAGGAGGACGACAGCGACCTGGACGGTGTTGGCGCCGCACGCGGCAGGGGCCGTGGCAGGGGACGGCGTGACTCCGCAGGCGACAGGCATCACCACAGTAGGCATCATCACCACAGCCATAACCACCACCACCACCACCACCACCATCAGCCACAACAACCGCACGATCTCAGCTCGCGGGAGCAGAGCGCAACGCGACGACACCGCCGCCGCCGCAGCCGCACGCAGAGCCGAACACGCAGCAGGCGCGATTCATCGGCGTCAATGCGCATGAAGCCTGTTGTGCTGCGCCGTGTGGAGAGCAGGAGCAGCCACGCCATACCAGACGACGATGACGACGATGATGACGACGAGTACTACGGTGACGTCGAGGACGGTTACCGCATGGGTGACGAGGTGCACCATGGCGACCACCACGACCACCACCACGACCATCGTGGGCAGCGTAATCACCATTCGCACCACCACCAGCACCAGCAGCATCAACATCAGCACCAGCAGCACCATACGTCTGACGGCAACAATGACGATGCACACCTCAGCCACGGCGATGAAGACAACCACCGTGGACACCACAGCAACCACCATGGATACCACAGCAGCAATCATCACAGCAGCCACCACCATCTTCGGCGAGAGCATGCTGTCGCTGATGATGATGACGATGATGCAGGCAGGGGTGACGGTGGTGGTGCTGCTACTCATGAACCAGCTCGCAATCGTGCTCCTGCTGCTGCTGCTGCTGCTACTGCTGCTGCTGTTGCTATGAAGGGTGGGGAGAATGGGGTTGATAATGATGCAGACAAACGCGGCGCGAGCAACAAGCAGGACGGTGGTGATCACAGCAACACCGCCAACCAACACAACGGCGATGATGATCAGCGAGGCCGCCCGGAGCAGCGGAGGGGCCAGCCGTCATCCTCATCATCATCATCATCATCATCATCATCATCATCGTCCTCATCATCCCAATCTTCATCGTCATCATCGTCGCCAAAGCGCTCCCCTGCAGCGGCGAATGGTGACGGCACACACATGAACGGGCACCACAACCACGACGATGGCGGTGACGGTGGTGTTGGTGTTGGTGGTGGTGATCACCCACGCGCCGGGAGCTACGACATTGTTGGCGTGATGCCCGAGAACAAACAACTGCGGCAGCAGCGGCAGCAGCGGCAGAGAATGCGAACTGGCCGCATTAACAGTGGCGGCAATGGTGGTGGCGGTGGCGATGGTGAGCGACACAACGGGAGTGCCAACCCCGGCAATCATAGATACGGTGGTAATGGGGATGACCGCGGTGATGATGACGACAACGGGGCCGTGTTCACGTCTGCGGCGACGGTGGCGACGAGTGTGGGCGGGTCACGACCGGGGTCACGCACCGCGTCGCGTGCTGCGTCGTTCCACGTGTCAGGACGCATGCAGAGGCAAGCCCCCACGCAGCAGCGAACACGGCCACCCATCGGCACCCTGCACGAGGAGAAGCAAGGCCACCGTGGTGGTGATGGTGGTGAACGGAACAGCAAGGGAAAGGGGGTTGAGAACACCGGTGATGGTGATGATGGCGGGTGGGATGTGTACGGTGTTGGGATTGGCAATGGCACCACCAACAACGACGAGAAGAGGAGAGACAGCGGCCACGACAACAACAACGGCAACAGCAGCGGCAGAGGTGGCGGTGGTGGTGCACTGGATGGCGTTGATTCCTCCCCTGTACCCGCCATCAGTATGCTGGAGCGAAGAATACGCGAGCCCATGAACCTGCCGAGTGAACCTTCGCTTGACGACACGACGCTGTCCGTGCTGCGTGCAGCTGTTGCCGAAGTCGGCGCGCACAACAACCACGACGACGATGATGACGAGGTGGAGAGGGGCGAGGCGTATGGTGATTGGGCGGGCAAGTGGGGCCACATTGACATGTGGCTTGGCAGCAGCGGCGGTGCGCGGAGCAGTGCAGATGGCAAGGGGGATGACGCGACGGGTGACACGCGTGCCAGCGATGGGAGGCAGCGCAGCAGACACGGAGATGGCAGGAGCCGACGACGCACACCCGACGGCGCTGATGGTGGTGGTGGTGGTCGCCGTGGTGATGACGGCAATCATGTACATTCGCGAGACCTGACACCAACGCACCGTGCACGGCGGTACGCACGCGAGCTACTTCGTCTCAAGCACGCGCTCGCCCACTCCCGCCGCGTGAATGTGCAGCTGCTCAACGACCTGAAACAGTCGCGCAAACGCGAACAGCACCTGCTACGCGTGCTGCGGCACATGCAATACGAGACGCTCTCGTCGCAGTTGCAGGCCGCGCTGCAGGGCGTGGAGGACGTGCGCACAGCCGTACACGAGCGAAGACGCGGTGGTGATAAGGGTGGTGGTGTTGGAGGTGGTCATGGGGATGGTGGTGAGAGGGCTGGGTTTGCTGGTGATATGGGTGTTGGTGGTGGTGGTGGTGGTGGAAGGTGAGGGGTGCTTGGTTTAGATGTGTATTGTTGGGTGAGATGACAGGGACGTTGCGTGTACATTTGCGTGGCGAGTTACGTTGTATGTTGCCAGTTGTGCTGTATGTATTTTGCAATTGATTCAGTCGTGCTTGTGGTGCAGTTGTGTACGTATCTATTTCCCTTCCCAATACATGGCAACGTGACCAAGCACAATGAACAGGTGACAAGAAATTGGGGCCGGGGGGGGGAGGGGGAAGGGTGTCAGCGGGGAACAAGAACGACGAAGAAGCAGAAGGGAAGAGAAAGGGACAAAGGGCGTCAGGGGACGGGGAGATGTGTGTCACGGTAACGAGGTGACTGAGTGTGATGGTGGGGTGATGGTGGTTTTACGTATTGACAACAGGGTAAGAGCGTGGATGTGGTTAAGTGGCATGATGGAAAGGGAGAAGGGGGCGCTAGGATTCGGGCTGTTGCTGTTGCTGCTGCTGTTCTGTTTCAATCAATGTGCGGGAACCCTGCGGTGTTGAAAGTGAGAGAGTGGGAGGGGGGGAGAGTTTGCAGTAAGGAAACTGCGTGAGCTGATGAGATGATCGGAGAAGGTGACGATAGGGTGAGAGGGTGGGGGAGTAGAAATGTCCTATCACAAGAAACAAAATGTTGTGAAGCCTGATATGTGTAGCAGCACACACACACACACACGCACACACACGCACGCACACATTACGTACAGAGGCAGCCTCGATGCGTCGGCGCTCGGCCGTGCACTCGTCGTCGAGCTGTGCACGGGACGCGGCGACCTGACTCTTGTACTCGCGCAGCTCCGCAGCGTGCTTCTCGTCCAGCTCTCGCAACTTCTTCGTCTCGTTGGCTGTTGGGGAGGGGGGGGGGTGTTGGAATGGTGAGTGAGAGCGTGTGTGTGTGTGTGTCTGTGTGTGTGTGTGTGTCTGTGTGTCTGTGTGTCTGTGTGTCTGTGTGTGTGTATGTGTGTGTGTGTGTGTCTGTGTCTGTGTCTGTGTATGTGTGTGTGTCTGTGTGTGTCCATGCATGCCTGCCTGCACACTCAAAATGCCGTGCACGTACTTATGATTGCCTGCTTCTTCAGCTGCTGCTGTTCGCGCAATTCCTCCAGCTCGACGTCCATCTGCCGCAAGAGCGACTGCCGCGCATCCTGTTGTGTTTTGTCGTGTGTGTGCGCGGTGAGGGAGAGACGGTGTGAACAGCGGACGGACAGACAGAAGACAGGCAGGCAGGCAGGCAGAGTGAGAGGAGAATGACGCAATTGTGCATCTATTGGTGCGAGACAGAGCAAATTTGCGTGTGCTTGGAGCGTAATGGATGATGCACAGGGGAAAAGAATGACTGCCAGTCGCGAGGGATTCCCAACACACCTGATACGCCTCCTCCAATTTGCTCTTCATCATGTTGTATTTCCGCTCCTCGTTGCTCTTAAACTCCTGCGTGCGTGTGTGTGTGTGCGTGCGTGTGTGTGTGTGTGTGTGTGTGTGTGTGTGTGTGTGTGTGTGTGTGTGTGTGTGTGTGTGTGTGTGTGTGTGTGTGTGTGTGTGTGTGTGTGT